TGTTTGTTTTGTCTGTTTGTTTGTTTGTTTGTCTGTTTGTTTGTTCTGTTTGTTTGTTTTTTGTCTGTTTGTTTTGTTTGTTTGTCTGTTTGTTTGTCTGTTGTTTGTCTGTTTGTTTGTTTGTTTGTCTGTTTGTTTGTCTGTTTGTTTGTTTGTCTGTTTGTTTGTTTGTCTGTTTGTTTGTTTGTTTGTCTGTTTGTTTGTTTGTTTGTGTTGTGTCTGTTTGTCTGTTTGTTTGTTTGTTTGTCTGTTTGTTTGTTTGTTTGTCTGTTGTTTGTTGTTTGTCTTTGTTTGTTTGTTTGTCTGTTTGTCTGTTTTTGTTTGTTTGTCTGTTTGTTTGTTTGTTTGTCTGTTTGTTTGTCTGTTTGTTTGTCTGTTTGTTTGTTTGTTTGTCTGTTTTTGTTTGTTTGTCTGTTGTTGTCTGTTTGTTTGTCTGTTTGTTTGTCTGTTTGTTTGTTTGTTTGTCTGTTTGTTTGTTCTGTTTGTTTGTCTGTTTGTTTGTCTGTTTGTTGTCTGTTTGTCTGTTTGTTTGTTGTTTGTCTGTTTGTTTGTCTGTTGTCTGTTTGTTTGTCTGTTTGTTTGTTGTTTGTTTGTTTGTCTGTTTGTTGTCTGTTTGTTTGTCTGTTTGTTTGTTTGTCTGTTTGTTGTTGTTTGTCTGTTTGTTTGTTTGTCTGTTTGTCTGTTTGTTTGTTTGTCTTTGTTTGTTTGTTTGTTTGTCTGTTTGTTTGTTTGTTTGTGTTGTTTGTCGTTTGTTTGTTGTTTGTCTGTTTGTTTGTCTGTTTGTCTGTTTGTGTTTGTCTGTTTGTTTGTTTGTCTGTTTGTTTGTTTGTTTGTCTGTTTGTTTGTTTGTTTGTTTGTCTGTTTGTTTGTTTGTTTGTCTGTTAGCAACATAACTCAAAAAGTTATGGACCGATTTTGATGAAATTTTCAGGATTTGTTGGAAATGTGAAAAGGAAGAACTGATTTCATTTTGGGGCTGATCCGGAAGAAATCCTGGATTCTGGATCACTTTGAAATTTTAGTTAACATTGTGGTAAATGGGGCCAAAAATTTTGTTTCTCAATATCTGGGTTAATTATTGACCAAACCCCATGAAATTTGACTCAGGGATGGACAATGGGATCCTCTTTCATATTCCAAAGGCTGATCCGGATCTGATCCAGGAGACTGATTTTATCGCAATTTATATAAAAAATGGGGGTGGTCCTTGGCGGAGGTCTGCGCTCTCTGCTTTTCTAGTTTACACCTGGTTTACTCCTTTAATAAAATAAATTAGTCTCTGACCGGTGCGACAGGGGTGACAGGTGCGTCAGGTGCTCCGGGCTGGACGTCGGGGCCTCCACATACGACACTTCACAGTCCTCCGCTCTGCACATGAACACACACACACACACACGGAGTTAATCCAGATGCCCTCCCACAGAACCTTTTTCACAACGGCCAAAAGTGTCGCAGTGTCGGTAAACGTCGCTCACCAGGAGTTACGTTTAACTGACATCGCGGCACTTCCGGCGGTTGTGAAAAAGGTCTTTGTTTATTATGATTATTATTATGGTCCCGGTTCTGGTCCGATCCTGGTCTCGGTCCCGGTCCCGGTCCTGACCTGAGGCGGGCGAGGGTCTTGACCACGGCGTAGTCCCTCCTCTGGCGCGACGGCATCCAGCGTCTCTTCTCCGCCCTCGCCAGACTCCGCCCCCCGAAACCGAACATGGAACAGAAACCGAAACGAACGAGACGCCCGAGAGTCCAGAAACTGCACATGTCCACACGCACCACCCGACCTGGACGGGACAGGAGACAGGGACAGGAGACAGGGACAGGGAGGGACAGGAGACAGGGAGAGGAGACAGGAGACAGGGACAGGAGACAGGAGACAGACAGGGAGACAGGAGACAGGGACAGGGACAGACAGGGACAGGACAGGGACAGGAGACAGGGAGAGGAGACAGGAGACAGGAGACAGGGAGACAGGAGACAGGGACAGGGACAGGAGACAGGGACAGGGACAGGAGACAGGGACAGGACAGGGACAGGAGACAGGGACAGGAGACAGGAGACAGGGAGACAGGAGACAGGGACAGGGACAGGAGACAGGGAGAGGAGACAGGAGACAGGAGACAGGAGACAGGGACAGGGACAGGAGACAGGAGACAGGGACAGGGACAGGACAGGACAGGACAGGACAGGGACAGGGACAGGGACAGAGGAGACAGGAGACAGGAGACAGGGAGACAGGAGACAGGGACAGGACAGACAGGGACAGGGACAGGGACAGGGACAGGGACAGGACAGGGGACAGGACAGGGACAGGGACAGGAGGACAGGGACAGGAGACAGGGACAGGGACAGGGACAGGGACAGGAGACAGGGAGACAGGGACAGGGACAGGGACAGGGACAGGGACAGGGACAGGAGACAGGGACAGGGACAGGACAGGGACAGGACAGGACAGGAGACAGGGGACAGTCACTACGTTTACTTGCACGTCAGAAAAACCCAGAGACAAAAGACTAAAATATCAATACTGCCTCATTCCTTTAGTTTGATTTAAAGCTCCACTGTGTAACATTTCAGGTGGAAGGTTCATCCCCTGATGTCTCCATTAGAGCCCGACCGATATTATCGGCCGATATATCGATATGAGCAGTTGGAGACTTATCGGCCTAAATCTTGTCGATCTGGGCCAACAGTCCACATTTGTTCTACTTCATTCTAAAGTCAGACATGTCAAACTCAGGCCCGGGGGCCATATTTGGGCCATGATATGATTATATTTGTCCCCTGAGATCAAATCAAATTTGTATTAGAGCTGCTGCCGCGAACAGATCGACTATAGAGACACGATTTATTTAAAATGTTGTTATTATTTTATATTCTGTTTGTTCTGGATTCAAAGTTTAAGTAAAACTATTATGAAACATTTATTTGAATAAAAAAAGGTTTAACATTTCATATCTCGAAAGAAGAGAAAACATGCAGATGTTGTGGAAATTTTTCAATAAATATTTAGTTTGGCCCATGACATCCCAGTTTATCATTTTGGCCTCTGTGAGTTTGAGTTTGACACTGATGTGCACGTAAACGCTCTCAGTGTTTGTTAATCTGCGCTGTCACCATGGTAACTCCTGAACATTCTGTTGTAAACAAACATACAGAACCCCCCCCCCCCTCCCTCCCTCCCTCCAGCCCGGTGAGATGACTCTGCAGTATCAGTACCTCCCTGTGAATGTGAACGAGCTGAGAGTGAGTGTCAGGGTTTGGTGCTGATACTGTGCCATCTGTGTGTGCCCCCCCCCCCCCCCCCATACACACACACACACACACCACACACACACACACACTCCTCACATCTGCCCCTGCTGCCCCCCCCACACACACACACACATCTGCCCCTGGGTTACGTTTCAGAGCCTCCTGCAGACACCTGATCTACGACACAGATGCACATTAAAGTGGAGGTATTCTGCAGATTTCTCACATGTTCTAAAGCCGTTCTGTCCAAAAAAAACCTGCCTGAAGACGCTCCGTGTACCACCAGTTCTTTTGGGGAAAAAAAAAAGTGAAAACAGTTTGTTGTTTCATTTTTCATTTTTCTGTTTTAGTGTCAAACAAAAAACTGATTTTTAGTTTCAGTGCAGTGTCAGCGCTGATTTTATTATTGTTTTTTTTTTTTGTAGAGTCTTAAGATCCACTTTTACTCTCTGGCTTTTCTGGTCCTCTGCATCTTTTATTTATTTATTTTTGTTGTTATCTATTTTATTTTTTTAGTACTCCCTCTATGTATTGATTTTATTATTATTTATTTATCTATTGATTCTATTAGTTCTTCTTGTTTGGAAAATAATTCTGCAGATTTTTTAAAGTTAAATGTTTTGTGTTGCTGTGTGAAGCGCTTTGGAAAATGTCTTATTTATAAAATTTGCTGCACAAATAAAGTTGGAGTGGAATCTGGTCCCTGCCGGCAGTAAAGACAGCGGTACAGAAATGGTGCAATACAGAGAAGCTGCTTAAAAACGACCAAAACACAAAGAAAATGTGAATATACTGACTCATGTTGGTCATGAATGCGTCAAGTGCAGAACAGTTTCTCTTCATTACTCACTCATTTCACAATTTTGTTATTACCAATCACATCACTTTGTGTCAGAGTTTTTTTATTTTGAAAATCTGGTCACCTTAATAAAGAAGGACGTGTTTAACAGCACAGATCAGATCACCTGTTGGAGTTCCAGCTCTTCCAGCTTTTTCTGGTCTGGTTTATGTTAAAACAAAGCTCAGATTAAAGTGTAATTTGAGTAACAGAGCGTCAGACAGAGCAGTGCCTCCTGTTAGCGTCACCGGGACCCAGAGCCGTTCTTACCCAGGACGATGTGCAGCGCGGCGGTCACCGGGTCTCTCACTCCATGAACCGAGCAGGACACGACGTCTGTGGAACCTGAGACACACAGAGACTTAGATCCACAATCGATTTTCCATTAATCACTAACATTTTTATATTAAAATGATCATTATTATTACAATCTGCACTAATCTGCATAAATAAATTCAACTTTACGACATATAAACATAACGACTCTAGATCCACATCAGCTGTTTGACATTATCATGTGTTTAATGTAGATTTGTGCAAATCTCACAGAAACTAAACTTAAAACCACATGACTCATTTACATAAACTATAAACTCTGATAAAAACAGCTCTTTATTTAACATCATTTCACTTCATTTATTTTGCTTCTGTTGTGAGTCCAGACGCAGACTCGACTCCTCACGACACACACACACACACATTCAGTTTGTCGAGTAAAAATTGACGTGATCGACGAAATTCTTAATGATCAATTATCAATTAGTGGACTAATCGTGCCCATAGTCCAAAGACACACACAGAACTCTAATCAAATCTTTGCTGAACCCAAGATGTGTCGTGTTGTTTTCAGGGTCTGTGGTCATCAGTTCTTAGGCCCAGAAATAATTTACTTCCTGAATCCTGGTGAGCTCCTCCCACTGACGTCTGTAACGAGCACAACCTGGAGTGTTTCGACCAATCAGAGCGACGGCTGCTGGAGCAGAGCGAACGCCACTCAGAGCCACGAGGCTCAGTCTGACTGAGATTCCTCAAAACTTTTAGGAGTTTTGAGGATTTAAACATTAAATAAAATATATATGTTGTGAAAATAGAAAAGAATCCTACAAAACCCGACCTCTGTTAAAGGTTGTATGGAGGATTTTTTTTGTTTCAAGTTGTCAGTGATAGATTATAGATGCAGTCGCCTTGTAATTATGATGACCAAAAAAAGAGAATAAAAATTCATCAACTCTGGACGTGGTGGGGCTAAACATTTGCCAATAGATAACGACACTGCCTCGTTATCTGTGAGCTGACAGGCTGTCAATCAAAACTCCCTACGTTTCTAGTGTAACTGACTTGCCTGCGCCGCCGGTACGTGGTTTACGTACGACTGTCACACAGTCCACAGACGCAAGACGCACAGACGCTGTTTACTCCACCAACGCAACAGTTCTTAGCGGCTTTTTTTGACCTATATCTTCCTCGCAGTTCGCACAAAGTTTGTTGCGATGGCGACAAGAATCCAGGAGCAGTTCGCCGCAAAAGAAAGTCCGTTTTTGAGGTCGCTGAAAGAAGAAGACAAGGGGAAAAGCAGCGAAGCCAAACTAAGGTGATTCTTGTAGATTCATTCCAGCGATGGCGCGACTGAAGCAGACGAAGGGTCTAAAGACTGACGCACTGGTCCACAAATTACTCCTGGACAGGAAACTTCTGCTTATTATGAAAACGTACTTTATTTCCAAGAGCTAGACAAACGTTTTTCAGGACACGAAAGCGATATCCTATGTCTGAAAACGTCATTTTCAAGGCAAAGAAAGAGTCCGCTTGCTGCTGCGTGTTGTAGTTAGTTCATTCGCACTGAATCTCCGCGCAACCTTCTCTGCTCCCCTTTCCTGCTCCTCTCCCCGCTGCCCGATCCACTCTTCCCCTGCTCCTCACTTCTCCGGCACTCTCCGCGCACCCCTCCCCCCGCTCCTCACTTCTCCGTCTTGTCTAACCAACACTGTAGTTAGTTGTTTACAAGTCATGTGCAGCGGCTGTAAACAAACCTGTTTCTGGCGTAAGGAGGAGGCGGGAGGAGGCGTTTCTACGTAGGAGCTGTGGGGGAGGGGAGGTGGTTTCACACATGCGCAACATTTGAAAAAGGACAAACAGACGCTGGATTTCTCCTTCCTTGGAAAATCCTCTATACAACCTTTAAAGCCGGACGTCCTGTCAGAGGCAGGTTCAAGTCCTAAAATACAGTGTGTCTCTGTGGGAGAACTGTTTCTGGGCCCAGACTCCCAGAGCTGCAGAACCCGGAGCGACCACTAGTCTGGACTCGCTCATGGACAGAGGGGGGTCCACGCTCACACACACACACACACACACACACAGACCCCTCCCCCCTCGTCCCTGGCACTGACCGGCCGGGATGATGCCCAGGGGCAGGTTGACTCCGCTGGGCGTCTCCAGGGCAGAGCCGGTGTCCAGTTGTGCCCGCAGGACGAGACCGTGGCACAGCTCCGCCACCGAGCCGTCCCCCCCCACCACCACCACACTGGAGAACAGGGACCACGCGGAGAACAGGGACCACACGGAGAACAGGGACCACACGGAGAACAGGGACCACACGGAGAACAGGGACCACACGGAGAACAGGGACCACACGGAGAACAGGGACCACACGAAGGAGAACAGGGACCACACAGGGACCACACGGAGGAGAACAGGGACCACACGGAGAACAGGGACCACACGGAGGAGAACAGGGACCACACAGGAGAACAGGGACCACACGAGACCACACAGGAGAACAGGGACCCACACGGAGGAGAACAGGGACCACACGGACAGGAGAACAGGGACACACAACAGGGACCACACGGAGGAGAACAGGGACCACACGGAGGAACAGAACAGGGACCACACGGAGGAGAACAGGGACCACACAGGGGAGGAGAACAGGGACCACACGGGAACAGGAGAAACAGGGACCACACGGAGAACAGAACAGGGAACACACACAGGAGAACAGGAGAACAGGGACCACACGGAGGAGAACAGGGACCACACGGAGGAGAACAGGGACCACACGAAGGAGAACAGGGACCACACGGAGAACAGGGACCACACGGAGGAGAACAGGGACCACACGGAGAACAGGGACCACACGGAGAACAGGGACCACACGGAGAACAGGGACCACACGGAGGAGAACAGGGACCACACGGAGGAGAACAGGGACCACACGAAGGAGAACAGGGACCACACGAAGGAGAACAGGGAGAACAAGATTCAAATTAAAATTAAAACAAGCACAATCAGAAATATCAACCTGGTCCCCATGATTCACACCAAAATCTTGTTAAGGTGTTTTAAAAGCAAAAAAAGTCTACAAAATATCACAATAAATATCAAACCGTGAGATTCAGATCGTGATAATAACAGTAAAAATCAGTAGTTTTGTGTAAATCTGCAGGGACAGAGGACACAGGCCCGGGTAAACAGACCTGGAACCTGACCAAGTTCCAGGTCAGATCCGGGGAGAGGCGACCCCACTCACAGTCAGAATGTGTCTCTTTTTCTAGGTATTTTTGAGCTTTAAAATAATGTAATTGTAATTTAATAAATGTAAAGTAGATCCACAGGGACACGGAGGAGCGGGAGGGCATCTGACGCTCTGGACTCACCCGTCGTACTGCTGCAGCCTGCACTCCTTCATCAGCGAGAGGGCGTGGCCTTCCTTCTCTGTCACTACAAACACAAACACACACACACACAGTGGCAGAGTGGTTAGCCCAATTGGCCCAGCGAGGTTTGTTTGGTCTAGAAGTCTGCGCTGGACAGAATTTTCAGTCCCGCAGGATGGGAACTTTTGGAGTCGTGGTGGGCGGTCCGGCGGCATGGTTAGGGGTGTGCAAAAATATCGGAATATCAATATATCGTATCGTTTAATGTGATGATACAGTATCGATATCGTGGGCTGCTGTATCGATACATCACAAGAGTATTTTTACGTGTGTTTTACTAAATTGTTTTGTTACAGAGCTAAGGTTTTGTTGCTTGTGGAGTGAAAGGAAACTCATTTATTCAACACATTTGATATTTTTACTGTTTTGAGGATTAAAATTTCTGTGTTTCATATGAACTTTGCACAAAAAAGTGGTTTAACAAAGACTTTTAGTATCACAGACATGATTTAGCCTTTATTTCTTACTGAACTGTATCAAATCGGTTTGAAATATATCATATCGAATCGAAAGTGCACCGCCGGTACGTGGTTTACGTACGACTGTCACGCAGTCCACAGACACAAGACGCACAGACGCTGTTTACTCCACCAACGCAACAGTTCTTAGCGGCTTTTTTTGACCTATATCTTCCTCGCAGTTCGCACAAAGTTTGTTGTGATGGCGACAAGAATCCAGGAGCAGTTCGCCGCAAAAGAAAGTCCGTTTTTGAGGTCGATGAAAGAAGAAGACAAGGGGAAAAGCAGCGAAGCCAAACTAAGGTGATTCTTGGAGATTCATTCCAGCGATGGCGCGACTGAAGCAGACGAAGGGTCTAAAGACTGAACGCACTGGTCCACAAATTACTCCTGGACAGGAAACTTCTGCTTATTATGAAAATGTACTTTATTTCCAAGAGCTACACAAACGTTTTTCAGGACACGAAAGCGATATCCTATGTCTGAAAACGTCATTTTCAAGGCAAAGAAAGAGTCCGCTTGCTGCTGCGTGTTGTAGTTAGTTCATTTGCACGGAATCTCCGCGTAACCTTCTCTGCTCCCCTTTCCTGCTCCTCTCCCCGCTGCCCGATCCACTCTTCCCCCTGCTCCTCACTTCTCCGTCTTGTCTAACCAACACTGTAGTTAGTTGTTTACAAGTCATGTGCAGCGGCTGTAAACAAACCTGTTTGTGGCGTAAGGAGGAGGAGGGAGGAGGTGTTTCTACGTAGGAGCTGTGGGGGAGGGGAGGTGGTTTCACGCAGGAGCAACATTTGAAAAAGGACAAACAGTCGCTGGATTTCTCCTTCCTTGGAAAATCCTCTATACAACCTTTAAAGAGCACGTTACGTTTTCAGGAGCCTGTGATCAGAGCGAGCGTCAGTAAAACTCAGGTTCATGTCTAACAGAGCCGTGCCTCATAACCCCATGACATCACAAGGTGGAACAGAGTGTTTTCTGACTTGTTATATGTTCTTTTTTTCTTTCTTTTTTTTGCAGTTACAGGAACAAAAAACCTCCACATTCTGTTTTTTTCTGGGCCTGTCTCCAGCGGCAGATGGTTCAGACCTCCCTCGATCTATCCCTCCATCTCTCCATCTCTCTGTCCATCCATCCCTCTCTCTCTCTCTCTCTCTCCCTCCATGTGTCCATCTCTCTTTCTCTCCCTCCCTCTGTGTCTGTCCATCTGTCCCTCTCCATCTCTCTCCCTGTGTCCACCCCCCCCCTCTCGTCTTCCATGTCCATCCCTCCATCTCCTCCATCTATCTGTCCATACTTCTTTTCCTCTCCCTCCCTGTGTCCATCTGTCTCTCTCTTTTCCTCCCTTCTTGTATCCATCCCCCTCTCTCTCTCTTTCTCTCTCTCTTCTTGTGTGTGTCCATCCCTCTCTCTCTCCCTATGTCCATCTTTTCTCTTTCTCTCCCTCCATCTATATCTGTCATACCCGTGTCTCTCTCTCTCTCTCTCTCTTCTTGTGTTCATCCCTCTTTTTCTCTTTCGCTCTCTTTCTCCAGGTGTCCTTCCTTCTCTTTCTCTCCTTCTCTCCATCTATCTGTCCATACCTCTTTTTCTCTCCCTCCCTGTGTCCATCTCTCTCTCTGTCTTTCTCTCTTCTTGTGTTCATCCCCTCTCTCTCTCTCTCTCTCTGTTCCTCCCTTCTTGTGTCCATCCCTCTGTCTCTCTCTCTTTCTCTCTCTCCATTCTTACATCCACCACTGTCTTTCTCTTTTCTTCTGTCCATCTCTCTCTCTCTCTCTCTTTCTTCTTGTGTGTGACCATCCCTCTTTCTCTTTCTTCTTGTGTCCATCCCTCTGTCTGTCTGTCTCCCTCTCTCTTTCTCTCTCTCTATTCTTGTGTCCATCCCCCCCTCTCTTCTCTCTCTCTTTCTTGTGTGTGTCCATCCCTCTCTCTCTCGCTTCCTCCCTTCTTGCATTCATCCCTCTCTCTCTCTCTCCCTGTGTCCATCTTTTCTCTTTCTCTCCCTCCATCTATATCTGTCATACCCGTGTCCCTCTCTCTCTCTCTCTCTCTTCTTGCGTTCATCCCTCTCTCTCTCTCTCTCTCTCCATGTGGCCATCTCTCTTTTTCTCTCCCTCCTTGTGTTGATCTCTCTCTCTTTCTTCCTTCTTGCATCCAGCCCTCTGTCTCTCTCTCTCTCTCCCTTCTTGTGTTCATCCCTCTTTTTCTCTTTCGCTCTCTTTCTCCAGGTGTCCTTCCTTCTCTTTCTCTCCTTCTCTCCATCTATCTGTCCATACCTCTTTTTCTCTCCCTCCCTGTGTCCATCTCTCTCTCTCTTTCTCTCTCTCCATTCTTGCATCCATCACTCTCTCTCTCTCTCTCTCTCTGTCTGTCTGTGTCCATCTCTCTCTTTCTCTCTCCTTTCCTCCCTTCTTGCATGAATCTCTCGCTCTCTCTCTCTCTTTCTCTCTTTTTGTGTCCATCTCTCTCTCTGTCTTTCTCTCTTCTTGTGTTCATCCCCTCTCTCTCTCTCTCTCTCTCTGTTCCTCCCTTCTTGCATTCATCCCTCTCTTTCTTCCTTCTTGTGTCCATCCCTCTGTCTCTCTCTCTCTCTCTCTGTCTGTCTGTGTCCATCTCTCTCTTTCTCTCTCCTTTCCTCCCTTCTTGCATGAATCTCTCGCTCTCTCTCTTTCTCTCTTTTTGTGTCCATCATTCCCTTTTTCTCTCTCTCTTTTCCTCCCTTCTGGTGTCCATCCGTCTCTTTCTCACTTCTTGTGTTCGTTCATCCCTCCCTCTCTCTCTCTCTCTCTCTCTGTCTGTGTCCATCTCTCTCTCTCTTCCTCCCTTCTTTTGTTCATCCTTCTCTCTTTCTCTCTGTCTCTCTCCCAGTGTCAATCCATCCCTCGTTTTCTCTCCCTCCCCGTGTTAATCTGTCTCTCTCTCTCTCCCTTCTTGTGTTCATCTGTCTCTCTCTCTCTCCCTTCTTGTGTTCATCCCTCTTTTTCTCTTTCGCTCTCTCTTTCTCCAGGTGTCCTTCCTTCTCTTTTTCTCCCTCCCTTCATCTATCTGTCCGTCCCTCGTTTTCTCTCCCTCCGCGTGTCCATCTGTCTCTCCCTCCCTCCTTCACCCCTCCGTCTCTCTCTCTGTCTTTCTCTCTTCTTGTGTTCATCCCCTCTCTCTCTCTCTCTCTGTTCCTCCCTTCTTGCATTCATCCCTCTCTCTCGCTCTTCTTATGTCCATCCCCCTGTCTCTCTCTCTCTCTCTGTCTGTCTGTGTCCATCTCTCTCTCTCTTCCTCCCTTCTTTTGTTCATCCTTCTCTCTTTCTCTCTGTCTCTCTCTCTCTCTCTCCCTTCTTGTGTTCATCCCTCTTTTTCTCTTTCGCTCTCTTTCTCCAGGTGTCCTTCCTTCTCTTTCTCTCCTTCTCTCCATCTATCTGTCCATACCTCTTTTTCTCTCACTCCCTGTGTCCATCTCTCTCTCTCTGTCTTCCTCCCTTCTTTTGTTCATCCTTCTCTCTGTGTCTCTCTCTCTCTCTCTCCCAGTGTCAATCCATCCCTCGTTTTCTCTCCCTCCCCGTGTTCATCTGTCTCTCCCTCTCTCCCTTCTTGTTTCCATCTCTCTTTCTCACTTCTTGCGTCCATCCCTCGCTCTCTCCAGGTGTCCATCTTTCTCTTTTTCTCCCTCCCTTCATCTATCTGTCCATCCCTCGTTTTCTCTCCCTCCGTGTGTCCATCTGTCTCTCCCTCCCTCCTTCACCCCTCCGTCTCTCTCTCCCTCTCTCTCTTCTCTCTCTGTGATGGAGACCACACAGTGACATCACCAGGTGGTTACGAGACGTTGCTCAAACAAAACAAAACTCCAGGTCGGTTTTCGAGGAGGGAAACGTGAGAACAAAACGACGAAAAATAAGCCCCTCCCTTTGCTCTCCGTGCCGAGTCGCTCCCCCTTCAGAGCAGCGCCACGACAACACGACCGGCGGATGGAAACGAGCTCAGGTTTGTGAAGCTGTCGCGTTGTCGTGTGTTTACGGGAAACGAACGAGAGGAGAACGTAAACGAGGAGAGGAGGAGGAGAGAGGGATGACAGGAGGAGAGGAGAGGAGAGGAGGAGAGGAGAGGAGAGGAGGACAGATGGGTTGAGGCCTCCTGTCTCATGTCTCCAGTTTCACCAGCCCCAGAGAACCATTAGTGCTGAACTTTGACCCCAAACTCTGAAACAAACAAAAAACCAGCAGCTTCAGGAGGATCTACACGAGCTTCTGTAGGACCAGAGGATCTACACGAGCTTCTGTAGGACCAGAGGATCTACACGAGCTTCTGTGGGACCAGAGGATCTACACGAGCTTCTGTAGGACCAGAGGATCTACACGAGCTCTGTAGGACAGAGGATCTACACGAGCTTCTGCGGGACCAGAGGATCTACACGAGCTTCTGGGACCAGAGGATCTACACGAGCTTCGGGACCAGAGGATCTACACGAGCTTCTGTGGGACCAGAGGATCTACACGAGCTTCTGTAGGACCAGAGGATCTCGAGCGGGACCAGAGATCTACACGAGCTTCTGTAGGACCAGAGGATCTACGCGAGCTTCTGTAGGACCAGAGGATCTACGCGAGCTTCTGTGGGACCAGAGGATCTACACGAGCTTCTGTAGGACCAGAGGATCTACACGAGCTTCTGTAGGACCAGAGGATCTACACGAGCTTCTGTGGGACCAGAGGATCTACACGAGCTTCTGTAGGACCAGAGGATCTACACGAGCTTCTGTAGGACCAGAGGATCTACACGAGCGTCTGTGGGACCAGAGGATCTACACGAGCTTCTGCGGGACCAGAGGATCTACACGAGCTTCTGTGGGACCAGAGGATCTACACGAGCTTCTGCGGGACCAGAGGATCTACACGAGCGTCTGCGGGACCAGAGGATCTACACGAGCTCTTCTGACCAGAGGATCTACACAGCTTCTGGAGGATCTCAGAGGATCTACACGAGCTTCTGTAGGACCAGAGGATCTACACGAGCTTCTGCGGGACCAGAGGATCTACCGAGCTTCTGCGGGAGGATCTACACGAGCTTCTGCGGGACCAGAGGATCTACACGAGCTTCTGTGGACCAGAGGATCTACACGAGCTTCTGGACAGAGGATCTACCTGAGGACCAGATCTACACGAGCTTCTGTGGGACCAGAGGATCTACACGAGCTTCTGTAGGACCAGAGGATCTACACGAGCTTCTAGGACCAGAGGATCTACGCGAGCTTCTGTGGGACCAGAGGATCTACACGAGCTTCTGTGGGACCAGAGGATCTACACGAGCTTCTGAGGGACCAGAGATCTACACGAGCTTCTGTAGGACCAGAGGATCTACACGAGCTTCTGTGGGACCAGAGGATCTACACGAGCTTCTGTAGGACCAGAGGATCTACACGAGCTTCTGTGGGACCAGAGATCTACACGAGCTTCTGGGACCAGAGGATCTACGCGAGCTTCTGTGGGACCAGAGGATCTACACGAGCTTCTGTAGGACCAGAGGATCTACACGAGCGTCTGTAGGACCAGGACCAGAACCATTGTGGAGAGGAGAGAGAGAGAAAGAGGAGAGAGGAGGCACACTTCCTCCTGTGCCTCTAAACCAGACCTAAACCAGGACTACACCAGGACTAAACCAGGTCTACACCAGGTCTACACCAGGTCTAAAACCAGGACTAAACCAGGTCTAAACCAGGTCTAAAACCAGGACTAAACCAGGTCTAAACCAGGTCTAAAACCAGGTCTAAAACCAGGTCTAAAACCAGGTCTAAACCAGGTCTAAAACCAGGACTAAACCAGGTCTAAAACCAGGACTAAACCAGGTCTAAACCAGGTCTAAAACCAGGACTAAACCAGGTCTAAAACCAGGACTAAACCAGGTCTAAAACCAGGTCTACACCAGGTCTAAACCAGGTCTAAACCAGGACTAAACCAGGTCTAAAACCAGGTCTAAAACCAGGTCTACACCAGGTCTACACCAGGTCTACACCAGGTCTAACCAGGTCTAAAACCAGGACTAAACCAGGTCTAAAACCAACTAAAAACCAGGTCTAAACCAGGACTAAACCAGGACTAAAACCAGGAGTAAACAGGTCTACAACAGGTCTAAACCAGGTCTAAACCAGGACTAAACCAGGTCTAAACCAGGTCTAAACCAGGACTAAACCAGGACTAAAACAGGATTCATCCAGGATTTAACCAGGACTTACTCCTGCCTCGTGTTTTCTTCCATACGCAGAAATATTGTCAGATATAAAACTGCTTCTTGGTGCAGAAAAGTTTTTGGGCGACTGTGTTTTTATAAACTGGACAATTTGAAAATAATAAAGTTCAGTGGGTCATTTTTTCTCTCTCGCACAAACTCGAAATAAAAAATTATAATTAAAACTTGTGTCACTCATGTCACTCGTGTCACTCGTGTCACTCGTGTCATTCAGGTCACTCGTTTCGCTCATGTCACTCAGGTCACTAGTGTCATTCGGGTCACTCGTGTCGCTCGTGTCGCTCGTGTTTCGCTCGTGTTTCGCTCGTGTTTCGCTCGTGTTTCGCTCGTGTTTCGCTCGTGTTTCGCTCGTGTTTCGCTCGTGTCGCTCGTGTTTCGCTCGTGTTTCGCTCGTGTCGCTCGTGTTTCGCTCGTGTTCGCTCGTGTTTCGCTCGTGTTTCGCTCGTGTTTCGCTCGTGTCGCTCGTGTTTCGCTCTCGTGTTTCTCGTGTTCGCTCGCTCGTCGTTTCGCT